ACTTCAGCATGATACTAGCCAGTTTGCAGAGTTCCTGGTTACTTCCTAGAGACGGAAATGACCCAGGAACATTACTTTCGGAGCCTGATATCCCACCTGCCCCAGAACTCCAAGAGTCATGAACTCCAGGTATAAAATTGAAGCTGCAAATAGATCTCAATAGACCTCTAATGTATAAATGGTAAAGTAGAATTGGTGTCAATTTAGTTTAATAGTCACATATTAGCAGTTCCATAAGACATTGTTTCAATGGTTTATGAAAACCTAAACAAGCACTGGAATTGCTTCTCATGGAAGCAGTAGAGAGCAGTGGTTTGAAATTTAGATTCTGGAGTCAGATACTATAGTTCTATTTCTACCTCTGCCATTCAATGTATCTTCTTTGGATGATCTACTGATATCTTTGGGCTTCGGTTTTCTCATCAAAAATAGGGGAAAAAATAACAGTACCTATATTCCAGGATGTTATAATTTAAAGAATTAATGCATATAAAACACTTAAAATAGTGCTGGATTCATGGAACATGCTGTATGAGAATCAGCTTTTTGTTATTATTGATTTCAAGTTGACTCCCGCATGATTCCAAAGTATAGCTTTTCCTTAGGAACTAAGCAGCCTTTATCATTGGATAGCCATTTATTCATTCATTAAACAACAAACTTAAACAGCTACATACTCTGTGATTCCATTTATATAATATTCTTAATATAATAACATTATAGAGATAGAGAGCATATTAGTTGTTGCCAGGCATTAGGGACTTAGTTGGGGAGGCTCCACAGGGATAGCACGACAGCGGGGGCTCCTTTGTCATGAAGGAACAGTTCTATGTCTTGATTGTAATGGTGGTTACAGAAATCTATACATGTGATAAAATTGCATAGAATTACACACAAAGAGACACACACTTAAATGTGTGTGTGCAAAAACTGGTGAAATCTGAATAAGTTCTGTAGATTGTACCAATGTCCACATCCTGGTTTGACTACACACAAAGAGACACACACTTAAATGCGTGTGTCAAAAACTTTCAAAAACTGGTGAAATCTGAATAAGTTCTGTAGATTGTACCAATGTCCACATCCTGGTTTGAACTGTAGTTATTTATGTATGATGTGATACTTGGGGGCATCTGGATGAAGGGTACACGGGAACTCACTGTACCCTTTTTTATTGTTGTTGATTTTTAAAACAGGTTTATTGACATATAGTTCACATACCATACAATTCACCCATGTAAGTGTACAATTCAGTGTTTTTTAGCATATTCACAGAGTTGTGCAATCATCATTGCAGGCAATTTTAGAACATTTTCATTACCTCAAAAAGAAATCCCTTATCTTAGCTATCATCTCTCCCCTCATGCAGCCCCCAAGGCCTCCTACAGACCCTGGCAACCACCAACCTACTTCCATCTCTAGAGATTTCCCTGTTCTGGACATTTCATATGAATGGAATCATATAATGTGTGGCTTCTGTATTTCTTTGCTTCTCTCTTTGAGTCTATATTTATTTCAAAATAAAAAGTTAAAAAAATGAATTGAAGGGCCGGCCCGGTGGCGCACTGGATAGTGCGCCGCTTGGGAAGCGCAGCGGCGCTCCCGCCCGAGGGTTCGGATCACACGCACCCAAAAAAAGCTAGTAGGGAAACTTGCCAGAATTTGAACCCAGATCTGCCAAAACTCCAAAGTCAGACCATAATTGTGTCTCCCAGTGTGTAAATATCTATCAAATACTTTGTGCACATGTGTGAACATGCCAAACTTTGAATGATTTAAGTATAACCTGTATTTTAATACTTAGGACAGCATCATAAAATTAATTTCTAAATGAATATTGAAATTTATCCAGTTTCTATGTTTAGCAATTGGTGTTAATTTACCTCTCATAAGTGCTAGAAAGGTTCTACAATACCTCCTCCAGCCCTTTTATACTATTCAAGCTTTTTATTAGCCCTAATGTTGATTGCCTTCCCAGGGCATCTACTAGTTTGAGTATAATTTGTCTAATTAAATTTAAAGAAGAGATGTTTCAGGGAGCACCATTTCATCATTTCCTCTTAAACTCTATGCTGTGGACTTTAATGAGGACCTAAACCCCATCTTAACCCAGCCTTAGTTTCAGCACAGATGAGCTGTGCTTGTTAAGACAGTCTTCAGTTGTC